TGACCCAGCTATTGGGTTGTTTTGACCCAGCGGTTGGGTTGTTTTGACCCAGCTATTGGGTTGTTTTGAAAACAACCCAATAGCTGGGTTTGTCCCTTTTTAACCCAGCATTTTTTTGAGTGTATTTATATTATTCCAGTTGGCTTTTCAGGCAGCTTCTTCTTTTCTTCTGCTCTTATCACATGCTCCAAAGGGTGAGCGAATTATGACAGAATTTTCAATTTTGAGTGAAACAGGATAGACAACATGCACATTAAAAACTATCATTACGGGTCCAAAATGACATTAAAAATGTTTATGCTTCACTTACATTTGTAGTTCAAAGGGTTTTCTTTACAATGAAACCATTTTTTTTCATTTCCTCCATTGTATGTGTGCAGGGTAAACATTTGAATTTGAGTATGTTAAATTTAGGCGAAAATACCAAAAAACGCGCCGAGCTTAAGTGGTTAAGCAGGATGGGACTCATTTTTAACCATCAGGAATGAAAAGTGTCCATTATATACGAGAAAGTCTGATGGATGATTGGGTGAAGTATTATCATTTTGATGTAAACCAAAAAGGAAAGTTGTTTTAGAGGCGGAGCAAGTCATTACATTTTGACAAAAGATTACAAAAATATTTTTTTATCTCTGGATTCAAGTGCACAGATCGTTCACAATGACAACAGCAATGTGTATAATGAAAATAAAAAGCGTCCGTTTTGATTTCGCATTGACTTTCAAACTAAGAACAGACTTATAATTTACAATCCAATCTATGTTTGAGAAAACCATGTTAAAAGCTACTACAACATCAGGCGGAAATTTTTTTTCTTTCAAAATATTATTTGTACCGTTCCACTTCAATTCATCAAATGAACATTAGGACACTCGCAATGAACTACACTTCATCTTCAAAATGTAGTCACGCTCCATAGCACTTCAGAACGCAGGAGTACTGAAATAAACAAAAGTCATTATCAGAAAAATGACTGAGGGAAGAGCTGTTCTTCTACGTCAGAGCCAAAGTGAAGTAATCAAAAGCCACAGAGAAACCAGCAAACCGGCCTTTTCTGCACCTCTCTCCTTCCACACTGTCCCTCTCTTCCATCTCTCTCTCTCTCTCTCAGTGGTCTAATCTGTGAGGGACTTAAAGGGACCTTATCTCCAGGCTCTCCTGCTTCATTTCATGCTTGATTTACTTTAATTTGTCTGATAGGGCAGCGGGATTTGGAGACGGCCCATCTATGGCTTGGGTGACGAGTGAAGAAAAAAAAAAGCCACTCTGATATTTCTCTGGCACATTGTCGCGGGTTTTTGACTTCTCTCCTCTCTCTCTCTCTGCCGCGAGTTTCTGGAGAGAGAGACAGGGAA